GGATTTCAACAGTTTGCTCCCACACAGAAACATAAAGTGAAAAATAATAGATGATTTTTTTTTAAATAATGATGAAATCAGATCAGACCTATTGTCATGTTTAATCCCAGTGAGAGTCAAGTTGGGAATTGATAATTTCTTTTTTTTTTTTTACAGAAGATCAGTTTAGTGTATATTAAGTAAAGATTTCAATCATTTGCACCCCCATAGAAACACAAAGTGAAATATACTGTTTGAGTACTCGTTATAGCATTAAGCCTCAGTGTACAGCACATTAAGGACAGAGATCCTACATGAGGAGTAAGTGCACAGTGACTCCTGTTGTTGACTTTACAAATTGACACTCCTGTTTATGGCATCAGTAATCTCCCTATGCACCAGTCATGAGTTTCCAAGGCTATGGAAGCCCCTTGAGTTCTCCGATTCTTATCTTGTTTAGACACGGTCATAGTCAAAGTGGAGGTTCTCTCCTCCCTTCAGAGAAAGGCACCTCCCTCTTTGAAGACCTGTTCTTTCCACTGGGATCTCACTCACAGAGATCTTTTTGCCAGAGTGTCTTGGCTTTCCATGCCTGAAATACTCTCATGGGCTTTTCAGCCAGCTCCGAATGCCTTTAGGGCTGATTCTGAGGCCAGAGTGCTATTTAGGACATCCGCCATTCTATGAGTCTGCTGAGTATCTCACTTCCCATGTTGGATCACTCTCCCCTTTATTTATTCTATCGGTTAGTGTTAGCAGATACTAGACTTGTTTATGTGCTCCCTTTGACTCTTAGTCCTTTCATTATGATCAATTGTGAACTGAAATTGATCACTTGGAATAGTGAGATGGCATTGGCACATGCCACCTTGATGGGATTGAATTGGAATCCCCTGGTATATTTCCAACTGTACCAATTGGGGCAAGTCAGCCCGAGCATGCCCCAAATTATACATCTCTTCCCTCTCTTATTCCCACTCTTATGCAGAACAATCTTAAAAGAGGGAGTATCAATTTGTTAAGTCAACAACAGGAGTCACTGTGCACTTACTCCTCATGTAGGATCTTTGTCCTTAGTGTGCTGTACATTGAGATTTAATGCTATAACTAGTACTCAACCAGTATTTTACACTTTATGTTTCTGTGTGGGAGCAAACTGTTGAAATCTTTACTTAATGTAAGCGAAACTGATCTTCTGTATATAAAGAGAGTCGAAAATGAATCTTGATGTGAATGGAAGGGGAGAGGGAGTGGGAAAGGGGAGGGTTGCGGGTGGGAGGGACGTTACAGGGGGGAAGCCATTGTAATCCATAAGCTGTACTTTGGAAATTTATATTCATTAAATAAAAGTTAAAAAAATAAATATATAAAAAAAGAGGGAGTACTCCCAAATTCTTTCTATGAAGCCAGCATCACCTTAATCCCCAACTCAGAAAAAGATGCAGCATTGAAAGAAAATTACAGGCCAATATCCCTAATGAACATAGATGCAAAAAACCTCAATAAAATTCTGGGCAATAGAATGCAACAATACATCAGAAAAATCATCCACCAGACTAAGTGATATTTGACCCTGGTAGGCAGGGATGGTTCAGTGTTCACAAATCAATGTAATACACCACGTTAACAAACTGCAGAAGAAAAACCATATGATTATCTCAATAGATGCAAAGAAAGGATTCGATAAAATACAACACCCTTTCATAATGAGAACTCTAAGCAAACTGGGTATAGAAGGAACATTCTTCAATACAATCAAAGCAATTTATGAAAAACCCATGGCCAGCATCCTATTGAATAGGGAAAAGTTGGAAGCATTTCCACTGAGATCTGGTACCAGACAGGGATGCCCACTCTCACCACTGCTATTCAATATAGTACTGGAAGTTTTAGCCAGAGCCATTAGGCAAAACAAATAAATTAAAGGGATAAAACTTGGGAAGAACTCTACTAAGAGAGTATTGGAACTCATAGAAGAGTTTGGCAAAGTAGCAGAATATAAAATCAATGCACAAATTTCAACAGCCTTTGCATACAGAGGTAATGCCACAGCTGAGAAAGAACTGCTATGATCAATCACATTCACAATAGCCACAAAAATAATCAAATACCTTGGAATAAACTTATTTTATTCAAATATGAATATTACAATGTTGACCAGTTAAAAATGAAAATACATAAATGAAACTTTAAAGGAGGGCCTTTATCTGAGATGGGTTTGTGTGTGTGAACATAAAACCCAGACTAAGATTTTTACACAGTATTATTTTTAAGAAGAGAGGAGGATTGGGGCCAGTGTGGGGGTGTAGTGGATATAACCACTACCTGTAACCCTACCATCCCAAGTGGGTACAGGTTCATATCCTGGCTCTTCCACTTACAATCCAGTTCACGGTTAATGATCCAGAAAATGCAGTGGAAGATGGCCTAAGTCCCTGAGTCTCACATGGACAGCTGAATTAATCTCCTTGCTTTGGTATGAACCAGCACTGGGCCACTGCAGATATGTTCAGAGTCTATCACCACTGATTCAGAACAAAAACGCATTAAGTGAAGTATAAATTGATCATAAGGAGGTTACATTCTGCAAGTTATTTTATAACATCATAATGCAAAATCAGTTTTATAAATTTTAGTTTCTAACCATTGAAAACTGAGAGAGTCTTAAGAGCTACTCCTGAGAAAACTTGTTTCCTTGGGCACTATTCTATCCCTTAATCTTTCAAAGCATTCTTCTCAGGTCTGAAGAGAACAATGCATCACTAGGGAACCAAGATGCAGACCAGGAGCCCTGAACCAGAGGCCAAGATGGAGAAGACCTCCATGGCCACCATGACCTTCCCCTTGGTGCTGTGGTAGACAGGCAGGAAGGTCACCCAGACACTGCAGAACACCAGCATGCTGAACATCATGAACTTGGCTTCATTGAACGTGTCAGTCAGATTCCTCGCTAGGAAAGCCACAGGGAAGCTCACCAGGGTTAAGATATCCAGGAAGCCCAGGACACAGTAGAAGACAGTGACTGGGCCCTTGTTGCACACTAGGATGATGTGGCCATGCTCAGAGTGTGCATCTGTGTCAATAAAGGGAGAAGTCCCAAGCCAGATGCCACAGAGAGCCAGTTGGATCAGGGAGCAGATGGGGATAATGGAGTTAAGTACCCCTGATAGCAGCCAGTGTCTCATCCTTCTCCCTGGGGCCATGACCTTGAAGGCCAGAAGCACAGTGATAGTTTTGGCCAGGACCGTGGAAACAGCCACGGTGAATGCCACTCCAAACGTGGTCTGCTGGAGGACACAGGTGGTTGTGTTGGGACAAACAATGAACAGTAAACAGAGTAAGCAGAAGATGAGAGCAATGAGCAGGATGTAGCTGAGACAGCGATTGTTGGCCTTGACTATGGGAGTGTCTTGGTGCTTCACAAAGACCCCAAGAACAACAGCGGTGAGGACAGAGAAGCACAGAGCTGTGCAGACCAGGGTCATCCCCAGGGGATCTTCAAAAGACAGAAAGGTCACTTTTTTGTGCAAGCACTGGTCTCACTCTGTGTTGGCATACTGGTGATTTGGACACTTCACTAACTTGTCCATATCAGGTGAAAGACATACACTAACATCATCCCACATTCAGTTATTTCTGATTCACAAGGATCTTCTAGAATAACTGACAGAGTTGATTAGGAAACTTATCCTTTTCTCCTTTTAAAGAGATGATACAGAAATTACTTGCAATTAATTGTGCCCATCTTCCTCACGTGAGACAGGCTTCTATTACTTCATCCCCCTATTTTATATTACATACTGTTGTGTATATTGTCTTTTTCTCCTAACGAAGCCCTAAGAGCAATTCTTTGAACCTATTCATGATGCTTCAAACAATACCTTAGTCTGTGTCATTTGTAACACCATAACATCACTGTCCATGGTTTCTTGAGTTCAGGAAGTGATGATCTATAGGATTCCATACATGGTGTAGGCTATTCTGCCTTTGTACATGGCAAATTCTTGCTGCATCTTCTCGTTCAACACTAGATAGCAGCGTCCCTCAACCGTTACTTTAATGGTGCGATTTGCTCCCTACTCTCATGGCCTAAAAGCTGCCCAAGGCTCACACTATTTGTAATGAAAGATTATTGATTGATTGAGAGATTGATTTAATTCGTTTGAATCACCATGTTACAGATAGAGGAAGAATGACATGGAGACAGTGGGAACTCTTCCATCTGCTGGTTCACACCATACATGGCCACAACAGCCAGAGATGAGCCAATATATAGCCAGGGGTCAGGGGTTTCTTCCCAATCTCCCAAGTGGGTAAAGGGGCTCAAGCTCTTGGCCTGTCCTCCACTGGTTTTCCAGGCCATCAGCAGAGAGGTGGAACAGAAAAGGATCAGGGGTCAGAGCAGTGGCACAGTAGATTAACCCACTCTCTATGGCATCGGTATCAAATATAGGTGCTGGTTCCAGTATTAGCTGTTCTGCTTCCATTCCAGCTCTCTGCTATGGTCTGGGAAGCAGTGAAAGATGGCCCAAGCACTTGTGTCCTTGCATCTGCCTGAGAGACCCAGAAGATGCTCCTGGCTTCAGATTTGCAGAACTCCAGCCATTGCGGCCATCTGGGGAATAAAACAGCATATGGAGACTCCTCTCTCTGTTTCTCTGCCCCCTGTAACTCTGTTTTTCAAATGAATTAAAGAATAATTTTAAAAAATAATATGCACAGAGCAGAGCCCCCTGAGGGCCTCTAGCACAAGTTGTAGTGTACAGCATTCTTGCTTCAACTTTGTTTCCAACCTTTTCACAATTTCCACAATTCTTAAGCAATCTTAATATACCCTTTAGGGCACAAAAGCATTCTTTTTTGCATTTAATGGGTTGTTTTAGTTCTTTGTTTACAAATCACAGATCTCTGTTCATTTTATTAATTTTTTTTCTGCAGTTATGCTAATTACTATCACTAGTAATTCATGTACCTGAGAAGATCACCTGAATGAATGTGAGTTTTCTCTCTCCCCTTCTTACCTAATTTCATCTGTGGTAATTTTTAGAATACAGGAGTGTCCCAATATGAGCAGAAATTCTTGTTCTTGAGAGTACTCCTACAGTAGAGGTATCACTCTCCTTCAGCTGTAATGTGGGATGTCTTTGTCCAGTTCTGAAAGCCAGATGAAGGGACTCTTCCTGTCCTTATCTCACTGTGCACAAAACGACAGAGGTAAAATCCCAGAGCCACACTGGGCAAAAGAGAGGGGCTCCAACTGATGTCCTCAAATTCAGAGTCTGAAAGAAGGAGAATCATGAAAATGCAGAACATTTGGATGTCATAATCACTCACTGGGGAACCTCAAAGCACTGTAGATCAAAAGGCACTGCACCTAGTGAAGCTGAATCGATGCAATCTATTTTATATGGAAATCTGAAAAATATTTTCAAATAAATAATTACTATTGGTAGCAGTTCTAACTCCAAATAGGTCATATTCTCTGAATATTTTCTCCAGACCTGCATGCAACTAGTCTTGCAGGCCAAGGAAAAATATCATGCATTTCTACAGGCACTGACACAGAACTTCCTCAAGGTTAGACTACAGGTACCCCTTGTATTTCAAGTGTCCTGCATATTTGGTCATGATGAACTGTCTATTACATGTTGATGGCTTGTTCACTCTCGATTTGTGCCTGACAGGAAGAGGCATCTTTGAATTCTGGGGCACAGGATTTTATATGTTTCCAACATATCAAATTATAAACTGGCTTTTCAAGTATCTTTTTATTATCTATGTTGCTTTCTGCTTGAAATAAGTTGAAAATTCTCCTTGCATGATTTTTTCACTTGTGAAGTACCTGTGTTCTTTTTTTTTTTTATCTTTTATTTAATGAATATAAATTTCCAAAGTACGTCTCATGGGTTACAATGGCTTTCCCCCCCATACCGTCCCTCCCACCCACCACCCTCCCCTTTCCCACTCCCTCTCCCCTTCCATTCACATCAAGATTCATTTTCGATTATCTTAGTATACAGAAGATCAGCTTAGTATACCTTAAGTAAGGATTTCAACAGTTTGTTCCCACACAGAAACATAAAGTGAAAAATAATAGATGATTTTTTTTTAAATGATGATGAAATCAGATCAGACCTATTGTCATGTTTAATCCCAGTGAGAGTCAAGTTGGGAATTGATAGTTTCTTTTCTTTTTTTTTTTTTTTAACAGAAGATCAGTTTAGTGTACATTAAGTAAAGATTTCAACAGTTTGCACCCCCATAGAAACACAAAGTGAAATATACTGTTTGAGTACTCGTTATAGCATTAAGCCTCAGTGTACAGCACCTTAAGGACAGAGATCCTACATGAGGAGTAAGTGCACAGTGACTCCTGTTGTTGACTTTACAAATTGACACTCCTGTTTATGGCATCAGTAATCTCCCTATGCACCAGTCATGAGTTTCCAAGGCTATGGAAGCCCCTTGAGTTCTCCGACTCTTATCTTGTTTAGACAAGGTCATAGTCAAAGTGGAGGTTCTCTCCTCCCTTCAGAGAAAGGCACCTCCCTCTTTGAAGACCTGTTCTTTCCACTGGGATCTCACTCACAGAGATCTTTTTGCCAGAGTGTCTTGGCTTTCCATGCCTGAAATACTCTCATGGGCTTTTCAGCCAGATCCGAGTGCCTTTAGGGCTGATTCTGAGGCCAGAGTGCTATTTAGGACATCTGCCATTCTATGAGTCTGCTGAGTATCTCACTTCCCATGTTGGATCACTCTCCCCTTTATTTATTCTATCGGTTAGTGTTAGCAGATACTAGACTTGTTTATGTGCTCCCTTTGACTCTTAGTCCTTTCATTATGATCAATTGTGAACTGAAATTGATCACTTGGAATAGTGAGATGGCATTGGCACATGCCACCTTGATGGGATTGAATAGTACCTGTGTTCTTATCACAGTCTTTTTTGGTTTCTCATGGTCATGGGATGATCTCATTTGAGGTTTTCATTTTCTTCTCCATGACTCAGCATTTTTCTGGGATTCCAACATTAAATTGCCCCAGTTTGATGGTGACCTACACACAAATCTCTCCTATTACAATGGCTCTTGGGCTATGACTGTTGTTGCTTCAGGCAAAAATTCCAGGGTTTTCTGCTCAAACACATTTTGCAAAGTAATCCAAATGATACTTTTTTTTTTTTTTTGACAGGCAGAGTGGACAGTGAGAGAGAGAGACAGAGAGAGAAAGGTCTTCCTTTTTGCCGTTGGTTCACCCTCCAATGGCCGCCGCTGCAGCCGGCGCACCGCGCTGATCCTGGCAGGAGCCAGGAGCCAGGTGCTTTTCCTGGTCTCCCATGGGGTGCAGGGCCCAAGCACCTGGGCCATCCTCCACTGCACTCCCTGGCCATAGCAGAGAGCTGGCCTGGAAGAGGGGCAACCGGGACAGAATCCGGCGCCCCGACCGGGACTAGAACCCGGTGTGCCGGCGCTGCAAGGTGGAGGATTAGCCTATTGAGCCACGGCGCCGGCCTCAAATGATACTTTTTAAAAAGACATTGATGTTTTGTGGTAGAAACTCTTATGTGTGTTTTTTCTTTTTTTTGAAGATTGAAAAAGGTACTTCAAATCAAAGAACTTAAATTTTAGTAAATTAAGAATGCAAATCCAAAAACACAAGGAAGCAGAATAGGGCAGAGGCTCCTACTCAATACATGTGGAGCTGAATGCCATGGCCACCCCCAGGTCTACTAGATAAGACATTCCAGAGTGCCTCCCAACAGTCTTCCTGTATCTGTAAGATATCAATGTGATTCTGAGGGTTGAAGAACAAGGAAAACAAACAAATTAACTCCCTCTTCAAATGCTAGAGTCTCAGTGAGGTAAGACTTCCTATTCCAGAATAAAAAATATTCCACAATATACTGTGCACGTTAAGATGTAAATTTCCAGCCCAAGGGAGACAAGGTACATTAGATTTATTTTACACTGCAGGATTACTAGGTTTCACCAAAATGGTGGGGAAGAAGCTGGAAGGATTCTCCCTACTCACGATTCCCCAGGGGAACATTCCACTCACCCATCCCCACTCCTCTCCAGGTCTCACAACTTGGGATAGAACCTGGTAGGGCCTGTTGAGCTGCAGAGCAGTGAGGAGTTGACATGGGGCAGTGGCACGAACACACTTTGCTCCTCTGCAGCTCAGCCCTTGGGAGCAGCACACATAAAGCCCCATAGCCTCATATTCTGCACCAAAGAAGCAAGGCAGGTTGGGGCTTCTTCTCACTCTTCATGCACATGACCCATATTCCTGTACAGGACATGGTTCCTGCCTCTGTCCTCTCATGGGAAACCTGTGCTCGCAGTGCTGAGGCTCCTGACTTGGTGTGAATATCAATGTGGGGGCACTCGTTATGGCTGATGTGTAGGTCTCTGTGAACCTCAGAAGTCATTATGGAGGAGCTGACCTGAGAGGTTCCACAATAAGGAGCCCTTGGACCCATCCTCAACCCCCTTAGGTGCATTCACTGCAGTCTTGCAGGCATGTGGAAATCCACCCTTTGCCTCAGGCACCCTCTAATGCCTGAGGGCAGTATTGACCATGACTGAAAGGAAGAAAGACCTGGGCTTAAGAGCAGTAGACAGCTCCAAGTCAAGAGTGGGTGAACTGAAACATTCAAGAATAATGGAAGGGATCTCCATGGGAGCACAAGGTGGCCCTGCAGAAATAAAATTCAATGCCAATATGTTTCTAGCTAATCAAATAAACAAGCCTATCAATACATAAGTAGATAAAACTCTCCATTTTCCTGTTTATCTATTTGTGAACTTAATTCAGTCACATATCCTCTCATTTTAACACAAGCACTTGTACAACTGCCTCAAAGGAAGCAACTGGCCCCAGCTTTCAAATGTTTCATCCTCTCACTCACTCACCTGTACAGTACAAGCATATTTCAGGATGCCCTTACATCAGGAGGAATACTGTTGAACACATTCACTGTATGGAACAACCTCCTAATTCTTTGTGTCCTGGAGCCATGGCCCGGATCTTACCTGTTTCAGAGAATGTCTTCCCAGTGTCTGCTTACATGAGCTCACATGAAATTTCCAAAATTCACTGGAACCCTACGCCACCACTCACACTTTCCTTTATACAATCTTGACCACCAATATCTTACTTCTCAGTTCTGTTTGAATGCTTCATCTTATGTATGAACTGCAGCTTTCCAATCTCTGTGTCGCACAATGTAACACCTTTTTATCACCTCAGAATGCTTTTCCTTCATACCATACAGGTGGATAGGTGCTTCATTGATAGCATTCACCTTCATCATTCATTTCCTATAAAAGATGTGAGAAAGAGTCAGAAATTTCTCCATGTTGAAAACCTTCCAAAACCTATTTGCCTATTGTCAACATGCATGCATGTAGCACACACACACAATGTAGATTTGTTTTCAATCTGTCACATTAAAAGCCATGTTCTATGTCATCATGAAGCCAGACACACAGGTAATAAAAGGAAAATAAGCTAATGGGATTACATGAAACTAAGGAGCTTTTGAACAGCAAAGGAAACAGCAACATGAAGAAACAACTGATAGAAGGGGAGAAAATATCTGCAAACTAGTCAGCTAATAAAGGATTAGTATGTAGGAGTAATAAGGACCCCATGAAACTCAGTATACACAAAACAATCAATCCAGTGAAGAAATGGGTAAAGGACATAAATAGGCATTTTTCAAAGGATGAATTACAAAAGGCAAATAGATGACATCAGCATTGTAGTGTAGCATGTTAAACCTCTGCCTGTGATGCTAGCATCCCACATGCACACAGGTTGGAGACTGAGCTGCTTCACTTCTGATCCAGCTCTCCACTAATGTTCCTGGGAAAGCAATAGATCACCCAAGTCCTTGGTCCCCTGCACCCACGTGTGAGACCCAGAAGAAGCTCTAAACTTCTTAGCTTGAGCTAGGAAGTTTATGAACAGCAAAGGAAACACTCAACAAAGAGAAAAGGAATCAGGCTGAATGGTAGAAAATATTTACAAACTATCCTCCTGATAACCAATTAAGACATAAAACATATAAGGAGCTCAAGAAACTGAACCAGGCCAGCACCGCAGCTCAATAGGCTAATCCTCCACCTAGCAGCACTGGCCCACCGGGTTCTAGTCCAAGTCGGGGCACCGGATTATTTCCCAGTTGCTCCTCTTCCAGGCCAGCTCTCTGCTGTGGCCCAGGAAGGCAGTGGAGGATGGCCCAAGTGCTTGGGCCCTGCACCCCATGGGAGACCAGGAGAAGCACCTGGCTCCTGCCTTCGGATTAGCACAGTGTGCTGGCCACAGCACGCCAGCCGTGCCAGCCATTGGAGGGTGAACCAATGGCAAAAGGAAGACCTTTCTCTCTGTCTCTCTCTCTCACTATCCACTCTGCCTGTCAAAAAAAAAAAAAAAGAAAAGAAAAGGAAAGAAAAAAAAAAAAAAAGAAGCTTAACCACAACAAAACAAATAACCCAGTGAATAAATGGGCAAAGGAAATAAAAGGCATTTTTCAAAGGATGAAATACAACAGACACATGGACAAATGCTCAGGGTCCCTGACCATCATGGAAATGCAAATAAAATTTCATGTGAGCTCATGGAAGCAAATATTGTGAAGCTGTCCTCAAATCAGGTTTAAAGGAGGCATCCCATGGAGCTGTACTCAATGAAACAAGCAATTTCTTATCACCTAAGTTAGAATGGCTATCAGCCGGTGCTGCAGCTCACTAGGCTAATCCTCCGCCTTGCGGCGCCAGCACACCGGGTTCTAGTCCTGGTCGGGGTGCCGGATTCTGTCCCGGTTGCCCCTCTTCCAGGCCAGCTCTCTGCTGTGGCCAGGGAGTGCAGTGGAGGATGGCCCAAGTGCTTGGGCCCTGCACCCCATGGGAGACCAGGATAAGTACCTGGCTCCTGCCATCGGATCCGTGTGGTGAGCTGGCCACAGCGCACCGGCCACAGCAGCCATTGGAGGGTGAACCAACGGCAAAGGAAGACCTTTCTCTCTGTCTCTCTCACTGTCCACTCTGCCTATCAAAAAATAAAATAAAAATTAAAAAAAAAGAATGGCTATCAACCAAAACTTTAAAGGAAAAAGAAAAAGTGGTTGTGAATATGTGGGAGAAAAGGTACCTAGTGCACTGTTGGTGGGAATGTATACTAGTACAGCCATTGTAGAAGACAGTATGGGGATTCTTCAAAAATCTGAAAATAGATCTACCATTTGACCCAGTCATTGCACCCTTGGAAATTTATCCAAAGGAAATGAAATCAGCATATGAAAGGGTCATCTGTACCCCCTATTTTAATGTATATGAGTGAAACTGACAGCTTTATATTTGATAATTTTTAATAATCCTTATCTACTTAAATCTCAATGCACAGCACATTAAGGATAGAGATCCTACATGAGGAGTAAGTGCACAGTGACTCCTGTTGTTGACTTTACCAATTGACACTCCTGTCTATGGCATCAGTAATCTCCCTATGCTCCAGTCATGAGTTTCCAAGGCTATGGAAGCCCTCTGAGTTCTCCGACTCTTATCTTGTTTAGACAAGGTCATAGTCAAAGTGGAGGTTCTCTCCTCCCTTCAGAGAAAGGTACCTCCTTCTTTGATGACCTGTTCTTTCCACTGGGATCTCACTCACAGAGATCTTTTGCCAGAGTGTCTTGGCTTTCCATGCCTGAAATACTCTCATGAACTTTTCAGCCAGCTCCGAATGCCTTTAGGGCTGATTCTGAGGCCAGAGTGCTATTTAGGACATCTGCCATTTTATGAGTCTGCTGAGTATCTCACTTCCCATGTTGGATCACTCTCCCCTTTATTTACTCCATCGGTTAGCGTTAGCAGGTACTAGACTTGTCTATGTGCACCCTTTGACTCCCAGTCCCTCCACCATGACCAACTGTGAACTGAAACTGATCACCTGGAACAGTGAGGTGGCATTGGTACATGCCACCTCGATGGGATTGAATTGGAATCCCCTGGTATGCTTCCAACTCCACCACTTGGGCTTTGAGATTTAATGCTATAACGAGCACTCAAACAATATATTTCACTTTGTGTTTCTATGGGGGTGCAAACTGTTGAAATCCTTACTTAATGCATACTAAACTGATCCTCTGTAAAAAAAAAAAAAAGAAATTATCAATTCCCAACTTGACTCTCACTGGGATTAAACGTGACAATAGGTCTGCTCTGATTTCATCATCATTTAAAAAAATCATCTATTATTTTTCACTTTATGTTTCTGTGTGGGAGCAAACTGTTGAAATCCATACTTGATGTATACTAAGCTGATCTTCTGTATATTAAGATAATCAAAAATGAATCTTGATGTGAATGGAAGGGGAGAGGGAGTGGGAAAGGGGAGGGTTGTGGGTGGGAGGGACGGTATGGGGGGGAAGCCATTGTAATCCATAAGTCGTACTTTGGAAATTTATATGCATTAAATAAAAGTTTAAAAAAAATAATCCTTATCTACTTTTGTACAACAGTGGTGTTTGTATTTTTCTTGTTGAATTCTTAATTAGTGCAGAATTAAACTGATGAGCATGAAGTGAATTGAATGTATGGGGTTCAGTGTTGTGTGGCCACCAGCATCACATATGGGTGCTGGTTTATGTCCTGTGTGCAACAACTGCTAAAGGCCTGGGAAAACCAGCAGAGATTAGCTCAAGTGTTTGGACTGTGATATCCCATGTGGGGGACCTGGATGAAACTCCTGGCTCCTGCATTTGGCATGGCCCAGCCTGGCCATGGTGGCCATTGGGGAAGTGACCCATTAGATGGAAGATCTCTCTTTCTCTCTCTCTTCCTAACTCTTGCTTTCAAAAAATAAATAATATTGAAAGGAAAAAGGCAGGAGGAAGGAGGGAGGGAAAGCAGGAGTCAATGAAAGTGGGAAGAATCATTGCAGGTTTAAAATTGTAAATATGAACTACATGAAATCTGTTCTCTTTCTGAAATAAATATGTTTAAAAAGAGGTTATTTTAATGCTAGTACCAGTACAACTTCTATGAAGGGGTGGGCCAGCTCTGGTTTAATAAACCCCTAAACATCAACTCATGTGTGTCCTTTCTCACTATGTACTCCACTTGTTTCTTTCCTCACACAATTGTGAAGAACAAGTATAGTTCAGGACGTACTTATATCAGGGAGGAGTGCATTTGAAACATGCATTGTATGGAACAACTCTGATTCTATGCATTGAGTACAGCTCCACGGGATGCCTCTTTTAAGCCTGATTTGTGGAGAGCTTCCCAATATTTGCTTACATGAGCTCACATGAAATCTTTCGAAACATATTCTACACTCTACTGCACCCACGTACTTCTCTTTATTAACCTTCTACCCTGATATCTCACCTATCAGTCTTGTCTTTGGGGACTATAATGTAGCCTTCTGTGTGACATAAGCCTGGTGTCATGTTAGCCTCTATTTTGTAGAGTTGCCCACCTTGGATCCCACCACAGAATACCTTTCCCTCATACCACACAGGTGGGACCTGCTTTATTGCTGATACTCACATGCATCAATAATGGGCTATAAATGATTTGCAGAAATTACCTTATCTTCAAGTTAGGTACCCATATCCCAAAACCCCTCTGCTTACTGTCAACATGAGTGCACATACATGCATGCACACACAAATGCGCGCACACACACACACACATACCTAAACACACACAAATCTAGACTGTTTCCCTTCTGTCAAAACATTGATATCCATTTTATACTGATCTTATTATGCAACAATATAGAGAGCATGATCTTTTCCTGTTCATATTCTCAGTAACTTGGAGTTTTTCACACCCATTCATCTACTCTGCATTACTCCCTGAAATCTTCAATTTCCTTTCTGTTTCTGTGTAGTGGATCCCTCTTCATCTGTCATAAAATACCATTAATTAGTGGTATTTCAATGTCCCACACTCAAAAAATGCCATTGATATATTTCAGTACTGATATATTTCATCTGTGCAAACATTCCAAATGATTTTTCCAATATGATTTTGGAACAATCCACATAGAACAGTCCTTTGGCTCTCCATCACTCAGTGTGATTTTCACAACCATTCAATATTCAATGACTCTATTTTCTTTTTTTGTGTGTTTCTGGGACATTCCATTTTTTTATATTTTGGTGACCTTAGTGGATGCACATACTGTATTTAAAACAGGGCATTTTAAAGGAAACAGCACTAGGACTGCTAGGTAGTAAGGAACAAAACTAGCTTAAAAGCCCTCAAACACTGACCCTAAGCCTGTGCTTCTTCCTTATTATGTACTTGGTAATGCTTTTTCTCACTCGGTTGCAGTGGACATGTTTGATTCCATGTGCCTTTCCATTTGGGAGGAGCACTGTTGAACACATTATTTGTCTGGAACAAGTACTTCAGAATTCCTTTCTTTGTGTCCAGCCCTGTGGTGTGACATTCTTTCTGCCTTTCTTCCCAAGAACACCTATGCAATGTTTTTATGCTCATGTGTAGTTTTCAGAGGGCCAGGTTCACATCTGGCTTATCCTCTTCTGATGCAGACCCCTGACCCCTGTAACATACCTTGAATACTCACATGGAGTTCCAGGCTTCTGGCTTCAGCCTGGCTCAGTCCTAGTTGTCCTTTGGGGGAGAAAATTGGCATCTGGAACTCTCTCTCTGTCTCTTTCTCTGCCTCACTGTCAGTTGGTGTTTCAAGGAAATGTAAACAAATAGGCATTTAAAAAACCCACTCTGTCCTCTGTTGTCCCTAGTGGCATATATTTTCTGCACTGTTTTACTGAAAATACCTCCTGTCATGACCTTACTGTGTTACTGAGTGTCCCATTCCATCCCCTGTCCCATTCCAGCTCTGAACTTACCTGGCCCAGTGCCTCAGATTTGACTGCCATTGGGGCACTTCCGGATACCACCAGAACAGGGCTTGGGTTGTGTGGCAGAAGCAGGAAGCAGTCACCTGCTGACTGGGCCTCATGTAAGCCAGTCTGCTGAAAAAGATTTTGGAGGAAGTCAAACATCTCACACTTTGAAACAGATGCCCAGAAGATAAACCCTCTGCTTATCTCACACACAAAATACATATGACTACATGTTATTTGTTTATATTCCTGCAGGGCTTGGCCATTGGTTGCTGTTCAGCTCTGTCATGTGGAGAATCATTTTATGAACAAGTGAATGGAGGTTATAAGGCTGCTTGGGCCCATTTGAGGACATGGAGAGCTATCCTGTGAACACCACCATTGCAACCCAGCAGACTACTAATTATTCACAAATGATGGCATCCCGAGAGAGATGCCAGATGGCCTTCCTTTCCTCAATACTGGATACAACATATTATATTGGTACAAGTTATTCCTGGGGAGACTCTTGCTATCAACCCTAAAGATGGGAACATTCAGAATATTCAACAGGCTGCCTATGTACCTCTGATGTCACCAAGTGGTACTCTGCCACCTATATACCTTCCTTCTGGTTATATGTCTCAGGTGGTGAAAGACAATGGGATTCGTAAAATTCACATTGTGCCTCAGACAATGTCATGTGTCCATACCACTTTGATGCAAGTACCACAGTTCATACTATCATTCTCTCCTATGTATCCACAGACCCTGACTGATGCATTCCTCAAATCAAGGAAAATTTCCCCCACCTTATGTCCCACACCAAAGCAGCTGAGGCCATCACCACCAGCAACATTTATGTACCAACAGAATAATGGTAGGATATGAAGTTCCTAAATAGCACATACTTTTAGTTTATTAAAATTAACACATTTGGATAATTATTAAAATGTCAAAGTAGGAAAACAATAACATTTCAAGGAATTTGGGGATTTCATGCAGCCATGTCAGGACTGATGATAATCCTTGGGTCTAAGGTTTCTGTTTTGTGCAAAATACAGGTGTGTATATATATATATATACCCTCATCAATAAATTGATACATATAGGAATAGTCAGACTACATCAACAAAATGTATCATGCCGCTGCTACAAAGCCAAAGTGATGATTTGATGTGAAGTGGAAATTAAATTGTCATAGGAGGCAAACCATAAGGAAAGTGGACACAGTAATCACATGAAGGCTGTGAAATCCTGTGGCTCTAAAAATGTTGAGCCATATACTCCATCTGAAATAGTAAATGATGCTTCATAGTATTTGGATGCTTGGAGGAGGGTAAAATAAATGCCTAGAAGGATAGTGAGAGCCAAGGCTTGTTGCATGTTTTCACAATTTCCTTCTATTAAGCTGTGGCAAGCCCAAGTAATTGAAATTCCTGAGGCCAGGAGGACTGGGGTGTTAAGTAGGGGTACTTCAAGGGGGTTCAGGTGGTTAATGCCTGTTGGAGGTCAGCAGCCTCCTAGTTCTGGGGTAGGGGCTAAGCTCGAGTGGTAGAAGGCTCAGAAGAAGCCTGCAAAGGAAAAGACTTCTTAGACAATGAATAGAATCATTCCATATTGTAGGCCTTTTTGTACAATGGGAGTATGATGGCCTTGGAATGTGCCTTCTCGTGAGATGTCTCATCATCATTGATATATAGTGAGTGTATTTGTTAATAGTGCAATCAGGAGAAGTGTAGGGGAATTAAAGTGAAACCATATGGTTAAGCCTGATGTTGAGAAGGATGGATAGGGCTCCGGTAAGTGGTCATAAGCTTGGTTTAACTATATGATAAGCGTGAGTTTGGTGTGTCATTAGGTATTATCATGTAGATATAGGCTTACAAGAAGTGTGAAGACGTAGGCTTGGATCAAGGCTACGGCAAATTCTAGGATTGTGAGGAGGATAAGAATAATAAAGGTGATTTCAGCTGCTGTAGGACTAATTGAGTTAGGGCAAGCGCTGTGCCTCCAATGAGATGTATAAGTAGGTGACCTGCTGTGATGTTAGCTGTAAGTCACATGGCTAGAACTATTGGTTGAATAAGAGACTAATTGTTTCAATAATTACTAGTATGGGGATAAGGGGGTAGGGTACGCTGTGGGAGGAAATGAGCTAGTGATGCTTTGGTCTTGTAGTGGAATCCTGTGATTACAGCCCCTGCTCATAGTGGATAGCCATCCCTAAGTTTATTGACAGCTAGGTCGTTGGTGTAAATGAGTGGGGTAGTAGGCCTAGGAGATTGGTTGAGCCAATAAATATAATTAGAGAAATTAATATTAGGGACCAAGTCTATCCTTTAGGGGAATGCATTGTTATTATTTGCTTCAGAATTAGTTGGGCTAATCACTGTTGAACTGAAACTAACCAATTATTGATTAGGTGAGTAGGGGCAGGAAATAATAGGGTTGGAAATATAATAATTAGCACTACGATTGGAACTCCTATTATTGTAGGGGTAATGGGAGAGAAGAATAAATTTTCATTCATTTTGTTTCTCATGGGCAAGGGAATGAAGTAAACTCAAGTGATTTTAGTACTGGGTTCATAGGGTATGTGTATTTGTGGAATTTGAGTTGTATTAGGATAAATAGTGAAAGAATTATGGCGACAATGGTAGTAAATCATGTGGATGTGTCAAGTTGTGGCATTTCACTATGGAGAGACCATTTAACTCTCACTCTCTAGCTTAAAAGGCTAGCGCTGTTTAGCTTCATAGCGAGTCTAAATCATAGATAGGGATCAGTTTTCGAAGTGTTTAAGTGGAACTATTTCGAGGACAATAGGTATAAAGCTATGGTTTGAGCCACAAATTTCTGAGCACTGACCATAGAAAAGTCCTGGTCGAGTTGAGATAAGTGTGGCTTGATTTAAGCGTCCGGGAATGGCATCTGTTTTTAGTCCTAGTGATGGTACGGCTCATGAGTGAAGTACGTCTTCCGAGGAGATTAGCATGCGGATTGGGAGTTCTATGGGAAGTACAACTCGATTGTCAACTTCTAGTAGTCGTAGGTCACCTGGATTCAGGTCTGATGTTGGGATCATATAAGAATCAAAATTTAAATCCTCATAGTCTGTGTACTCATAGCTTCAATATCATTGGTGGCCTATCGTTTTTACTGTTAAAGAGGGGTTGTTGATTTCATCTATTATATATAGGATTCGTAGGGAGGGCAGCGCAATTAAAATAAGAATAATGGCTGGGAGGATGGTTCAGATTGTCTCTACCTCTTGAGCGTCCATTGTGCTTGTGTGAGTGAGCTTTGTAGTTAATATAAGAGAAATAATATAAAGGACTAGGGAGCTGATTAGAAAGACGATTATGAGAGTGTGGTCATGAAAGTGAAGTAATTCTTCTATAATAGGGGATGAGGCATCCTGAAAGCCCAGTTGGAAGGGGTACGCCATAAAGATATATAGGAGTTGAACCTATAAATTAACTTCGACAAAGTTATGTAATGGTTTTACTAATATCTTATCAAGAAAGTCATAGTGGCTATGGGGCTGGCTTGAAACCAGTTTTAGGAGGTTCGATTCCTTCCTTTCTTGTACTAAGCTTTTACGAAAGCGGGTTCTTCAAATGTATGGTATGGGGGAGGGCATCCATGAAGTCATTCTAGGTTTGTGGTTGTTAGTTCAATAGTCTCTACTTCTCGTTTTGAGGCGAAGGCTTCTCAGATTATAAAAATTATTACTATTACGGCAGTTAGGGAAATGAATGAGCCTATTGATGAAACAGTATTTCATATTGTATAGGCGTCCGGGTAGTCTGAGTACCGTCGGGGTATACCTGAGAGGCCAAGGAAATGTTGAGGGAAGAAAGTTAAGTTGACTCCTACAAATATCACAGTGAAGTGAATTTTAGCTCAGGTTGGGTCAAGGGTATAGCCTGAGAATAGGGGGAATCAATGGGCAAATCCTCCTATAATAGCAAATACAGCCCCCATAGATAGGACATAGTGGAAGTGAGCTACTACATAGTAGGTGTCATGTAGTACGATGTCTAAAGAGGAGTTGGCTAGCACAATTCCTGTAAGACCGCCTACTGTAAATAGGAAAATAAAGCCTAGAGCTCAGAGCATAGCGGGGGATCATTTGATGTTGCCGCCATGCAGTGTTGCTAGCCAGCTAAATACTTTGACTCCAGTAGGGATAGCGATGATTATGGTAGCTGATGTAAAGTAGGCTCGTGTGTCTACATCTATTCCTACTGTAAATATATGATGGGCCCATACGATAAATCCAAGGAAACCAATTGATATTATAGCTCATACTATTCCTATATAGCCAAATGGCTCTTTTTTCCCGGAATAGTATGTCACAATGTGCGAAATTATTCCAAATCCTGGAAGAATAAGAATATATACTTCGGGGTGCCCGAAAAATCAGAATAGGTGTTGGTAGAGGATAGGGTCTCCTCCTCCTGCAGGATCAAAGAAGGTTGTATTTAAGTTTCGGTCTGTTAAAAGCATTGTAATGCCAGCAGCTAGGACCGGTAAAGAGAGAAGAAGAAGTACGGCTGTGATTAGAACAGATCATACGAATAAGGGGGTTTGATATTGAGATATTGCAGGGGGTTTCATATTAATAATAGTTGTAATAAAGTTAATAGCCCCTAAAATAGATGATACTCCAGCTAAGTGAAGGGAGAAAATAGTAAGATCCACTGAGGCTCCAGCATGTGCAAGATTACCGGCTAGAGGTGGATAAACAGTTCAGCCAGTCCCCGCCCCAGCTTCTACTATTGAGGAGGCTAGTAGAAGAAGGAATGAAGGGGGGAGAAGTCAGAAGCTCATATTATTTATTCGGGGGAAGGCTATGTCAGGAGCCCCAATTATCAGGGGGACAAGCCAGTTCCCGAAGCCTCCAATTATAATAGGCATGACTATAAAGAAGATTATTACAAAGGCATGTGCGGTGACGATTACATTATAGATTTGATCATCCCCGAGTAGAGTCCCTGGCTGACCTAATTCTGCTCGAATTAGCAGGCTGAGGGCTGTTCCCACCATCCCAGCTCAAGCTCCAAATAGGAGATAAAGAGTGCCGATGTCTTTGTGGTTGGTAGAGAAAAGTCAACGATTGACGAACATAAGTAAGGGTAAAATGGCCGAGTAGGTATTAGACTGTAAATCTAAAGACAGAGGTTAAGCCCTCTTTTTACCAAGCCCTGAGGTGGGTACTAACATATTGAATTGCAAATTCAAAGAAGCAGCTTCAACTCTGCCGGGGCTTCTCCCGCCTTTTTTTTCTTACGGCGGGAGAAGTAGGTTGAAGCCAGTTGACTAGGGTATTTAGCTGTTAACTAAAGCTTCGTGGGGTTGGAGCCCACCAATCTAGGAGGATTTAGCTTAATTAAAGCACCTGGTTTGCATTCAGGAGATGTAAAGTTAATTTGCAGTCCTTAAGCAGGGGTTAAGTATGATCTACTTGCTTAGAGCTTTGAAGGCTCTTGGTCTGTGTAACCTAAACTCCTTTAAAGCTTAATTTAATACTGAGAGTGCTGGTGTGAGGGGGAGGAGTATGGTTGATAAAATAATTAGTGGAGTGATGAGGGGTATGCGTTTTGTTGATTCAAATTGTCATTTTATTTTTAGATTGTTGGTGGTAGGGAATATAGTTAGTGAGGAAGAATAGATAAGGCGTATATAAAAATATAGATTTAGGAGGGCAAGCATGGCTATAGCGGTGGGTAAAATGATATTGCCATTTTTTGTTAATTCCTGGATGATAATTCATTTAGGGATAAAACCTGTGAGTGGGGGCAGGCCTCCTAGGGATATTAGGGTGATTAGGATAGTAGATACTATTAGTGGATTTTTGTTTCACATTTGTGATAGTGATAGAGTGGTTGTACTTGAGTGCTGTATGAATATTATGAATATAGGGATTGTCATGAGAATATAGATAATTAGGT